AATCCAAAAAAGCATCAGACCACATTGATCATCTGCGGATATCATTCCTGAAGTTGCAAAAATACAACCTAAAACTGAATCCTGCAAATGCACATTCGGAGTGTCGTCAGGAGAATTTTTGGGTTATATCGTCAGCAAGAGGGGGATAGAAGCTAGCCCAGGGCAGGTTCGAGCCATACTCGACATTGAATCTCCCAAGTCGGTCAAAGATGTCCAGAGGTTGACGGGACGAGTTGCGGCGCTCAACAGATTCATATCAAAGTCGTCAGACAGGTGTCGACTTTTCTATGATGTCCTCAGAAAAAATAGAAAATTCGAATGGACAGGACAACACGAAAAAGCTCTACAACAATTGAAGGAGTACATGACGACACCGCCATTACTGACGAAGCCTAAAGATGGGGAGGAACTACAGATGTATCTAGCAGTGTCGGAGCATGCTGTCAGTGCAGTCTTGACCCGGGAAGAAGACGGCCAACAAACGCCATTTTACTACATAAGTAAGTCATTAAGTGGGCCGGAAGCCAGGTACGCACTCTTAGAAAAATTAGTACTTGCACTAGTCACAGCATCAATTAAATTGCGTCCTTATTTTGAATCACATTCTATTTGTGTTCGAACTAACTATCCCATGAAGTCGATCATGAGGAAACCAGAACTGACAGGTCGAATGATCAAATGGTCAATACAGCTGGGGGCATACAACATCAAGTATGCGCCCAGGACGGCTTTGAAATCACAGGCTCTAGCTGATTTTGTGGCGGATTTCAGCCCCAAACTACAAGTAGAAGCTGAAAAGGAGATGTGCCTATTGATTGAAGAGCCACAACAACAAAAATGGATCTTGCACACCGACGGAGCCTCAAACATGCAGGGAGCCGGACTTGGAGTTGTACTGAAATCACCACAAGGGGGGCAATATAGTGCAAGCTGTCAGATGCGATTTCAACGCAACAAACAATTGATATGAGGCACTGATATTCGGGCTAAACTTAGCTCGAAACTTGGGCATAAAAACAATTGAGGTAAAATGCGATTCTCTTTGAATTATTAATCAAACTAACGGAGTCTATTCAGCTAAAGATCCAAAGATGATGGCGTACCTACAAGTCGTCACCGAATTGAGCAGCAACTTTGACAACATCACTTTTGATCAAATCCCAAGAGAGGAAAACGTCCAAGCCGATGCCTTGGCAGCAATCGGATCGTGTCTGGGGGCAGAAAGAAACGACAACATACCATTCGTCCACCTGACTGAACCAGCAATTATGAAGTTGGAAATCGTCAACATCATTGAATCAAAGTCAGACAGCAGCTGGATGCAACCCTATGTGGAGTATCTCAAACACAACATCCTCCCAGCTGACAAGAGAGAAGCAAGAGCACTCTTATCAAAGGTAACAAAGTTCTTATTAATTGATGACGTCTTGTTCAAACGTTCGAAAGCAGGTCCATATCAAAGGTGCCTTGCCCCTCCGAAGCTGTCAAAGTGCTCAGGAGTCTTCACGAAGGGGAGTGTGGCAATAATGCAGCAGGAAGGAGCCTTTCCAACAAAGCATTGAGGTTTGGATACTACTGGCCAACAATGAGGTAGGATGCTGTCGCATACACTCAAGCTTGTCAACCATGCCAAAGACATGCACCAGTACACCACCAGCATGCAGAAGCACTACATCCTGTCCTATCCCCATGGCCCTTCATGAAGTGGGGTATGGACATCGTAGGGAAGCTGCCTGAAGCACCCGGACAAAAAGTATACATGTTGGAGATGACTGACTACTTCTCTAAATGGATTGAAGCTGAACCTTTCCGACAGATCCGCGATACTCAGGTAATATCTTTTATCAAAAGAAATATTTTGAGCAGGTTTGGAATCCCGTCGGAGATCGTCTGCGATAATGGGTCACAGTTCATCAGCATCAAAACCAGACGATTCTGTGAAAGGTACAACATCAAACTGGAGATGTCGACACCACGCTATCCGCAGTCAAACGGACAAGCTGAGTCAAGCAACAAGATCATCATCTCTAATCTAAAGAAACGGTTAGAGAAAGCACAAGGAAGGTGGGCCGACGAGTTACCACTTATATTATGGGTAGACCGGACGACACCAAAAAATGCCACTGGACAAACGCCTTTTTCATTGGTATACGGATGCGAAGCTGTCATTCCAATCGAGGTTGAGGTGCCAACATCCAGATACGGACTTATCACAGAGGAGGCAAACAACGCAGAACTGATTCATGATCTTGACACTATCGATGAATTGAGGGAAAAAGCTAAAGTACAAATGGCAGCCTATCAGCAAAGGGTAGCAAGAAGCTATAACAAAGATGTCCGAGCCAAAGTATTCAAGAAAGGTGATTGGGTACTCAGAAAATCCTTTGGCAACGACGCAAATGGGAAGTTCAGTCCCAACTGGGAAGGCCCATACCAGATCACAGATGTCGTCGGGCAGGGGGCATACCGTTTGACAGGCACGAACGGTAAACAAGTACCAAGGAGCTGGAATGCGGTACACTTAAAACCCTTCCATTTCTGATATAATTAATTACTTAAGTATTCATCTTATACCTTTTGTATCTCTTACTAACTTGACCATCGGAGGGCCGTTGGCCTCAAGCCAACGGCCAAACAAAGTGTTTGATTTGCAGATTGAAGGCGTCAAACCACTTACTGACAGACAACCTGAAACCAAGTGATTAATGACGACATCACGTCAAAGGTTAGACGACGACATCACTTAATTCCAGCTCAACAACAGTAATTCAACCGAGATCGCTTGATCAGTATAAGTAACTTAATAAAAAAAACACTGTCAAGGTATGCAACAGCAATTTACGCATCCTTCACTTTCATATTTTCTTCATTCCTTCACTTTGACAAATTTAAGTTACTTTTGAAACATTAAGTAGAGACGACATGAATTTTACTAAGTAGCTTCACAAAAGTTGAAGACTATTTTTCAAATACATACCTGATCATGATTACTGACTTAAGCATCGGAGGGCCGTTGGCTTCAAGCCAACGGCCAGATCCTGACAACATGATTAAGTGCAGGCTTAAGCATGAGGGCAACACTAATGGCTGAAGACGTCAATCAAGCTCAAGTAAGTTTCTCATAACACAGCCCTTAATTACATCACTAAGGAACATCAAGGATGGCATGGGCTCGTCATATGTAAAATATGAGTACCGAGTCCATACACCTTACACGTTTTGGCCAAAACAACATATGGCGTACAATAATGCATACTGACGATATCACAAAGTCAGATAGAATACAAAACAACAGACATCATACGTTATTACATTCTACACATTGACAATGTCAAAAAATCAAACACACACATAACAATAAACGAACAAAGTTGCACATCACGGATGCTGACGACATCAAGGTCAGGCAGAAATTTACAACATTAATAAGTTCAGGTAAACGCAAAAATGACAAACGAATCAAGCATAAAATGAGAATAACGACATCAGGAACGAAAATCTACGACAGCAGTTTGCATATGAAAGATAAAACTATGCAAACGTAAGTGTTCCACACAGAGCATAACGGCAAAATATACAAGTTCTGGATAAACCACCAGATACTTGTGAAAGCAGTCAAATATTCACGCCACCGAACCACCAGGAGAATTCCTGGGCGATGTGGTTGTGAAAGAAACAGAGCGGGACACAATGTTTTTAAGCAAAAGACAGTCAACAACATAGAAAATTCATGGAAATTTGGAAGGACCGGAGTCGGCTTCGGTGTTGTCGGGACCTAGATCGAACCCGTCATCACCTACAGGGGGCTCGGCCTCTTCAAAGTACAGCGTCCAGGTGTCCAAATCATCCTGAGGGGTCCATTTGTCCGCCTCGCCTGCAAGGAACTCGGTCATAAGGTCTTTTTTCGTTTGCCACGCATAATAGGTAGCCGCAGCAATCACCTCCTTCCTCTTCTTCCTCCCGTACTCCTCCAGCACTTCAATCCGGGCACCCTTGGCTTCATTCTCTCCGGTAAGCCTCCGGACCTCCTCCTTTAGCTCGCACAACTGAGCATCCGCATCTAGCTTCGATTGTGCTACCTCAGACAACTTCCTCTTTGCAAGCTCCTCATTCGCTTGGGCCTCCACCAAAGACTTCTCTAAGGAGCGAAGGCGATCCGCAGCAGCCAAGTTGGCCTGGATGCTCTGCAAAAACAACGCATTAGTATGATTCGACAAAGCTACTAAGCAAGAAGAGATGATTGCTAACCTGAAAGGCAAAAGCAGATGACGCACAAAGCACGTCCACGGAGGAGAAACCAGAAAAGGTGTCAACGGTAGAGGGAAGGAGCAATTGAGATATATCATCCTTCATCTTCAACGCATTCTCCAAGCGGCGGAAGTCATTGGAGAAACCCAGCTTTATCTGAACAGGTCCCGGCGCAGGATCGCGAGGCAGCAACGGTGGAGGCACAGAGCATGTAACCGGAGTATTCATCTTGATAGCCGGAGAACAAGGGGCTACCATCTTTCTCTTCTTTAGAGCCAGGTTAGCAGGATCTAGGGGGTTCAACGCCCTACGAATACCTGAGGAAGAGGAAGTCGCTGGACAAAGATAAAGTCACATTAATAAACAAAGACAGTATTATAAGAGTGCGATACGGATTGGTAAGATACCCGTAGCAGATGTTGTCGAGGCAACAGTCAGAACGGGTTTGATAGCATGCAAATGGGAGCTGACGGTTGTCACAGGCACAGGAACGACAGCGCAAAGTTCTTGAACATGCGGGGTACTACTCTCATCATCAATACTTACAACATCGTCATCATCCTTCTCGGACTCCTCAGCAGAAATTGGGGAACCATCTTTTAACAAACACGGATATCAAAAACATCAAATACAAACATCAGGTATATCAGCAAGACATACTCTAGCTAAAAAACTCAATATTTTGACACCTTTCAATTCAGTCACCAATGAAGAATGCATGCGCTCTTCAAGGCCCAGCGCTAAGAGTTGGTTTGTTCTCTCCTCGGCAAGAGGCCCGAAATCCAGGGGAATTGTTTTCTGCTTAATTGCTACAGTAAATGCATACCATGAGTACAAGATAACAACAAGGCCAAAGACAGAGAAATGCAACTAGAACAAACCTGCAACTCTCCATTTATCAACCAGAACTCTTCCTGCTACTCCCAGTGAGGATCTCTCGACAAAGAAAAATTTAGTCATCCACCCCCTATCATTGGCACCGCCAATTTCAAGAATCAAGGGTTCTTTCCCGTTCTTCGCCGTCAAAATAAACCTGCCTTTTCCAGAAGTCCGCAAGAAGTATGTAAACCCCAAATCGTCAGCAGAAAACTTCAGAGCATGTTTTTCTTTTAGAACATCCAAAGAGCGAATTAACCGTCATGTTTGAGGAGTTATCTGGGCCGGGGACACTTGCATGATGTTCAGAACACCAGAAACGAAATCAGAGAAGGGGAATCTCATACCTAGTTTCTTGAACGGATACTGGAAAAAGCTAATCCAGCCTTGACGGAACCAGTCGACCCGCTCTGGCCGTACTGGGAAGTGAATCCTCGCCGGGGGAGAAAAGCCATAAACGGTTAAGATCTCCTCCTTGTCTTCGTCGCGCAAGTCGCAAGCTCGCGAGCTCTTAACATCAAGAAGATTCCGGCTAGCAAAAACGATGGGCTCCATAGGGAAAACGGAGGGAGGTTTCAGAAAGTACTGTTGCACGAAGAGATCGATTAGAAACGGCGTGTGAAAAGGTTTTAATATTGCAGTTCCTCGGGAAGAGTCCAGACGGTTGAGTGTTCCATATGGTTTAAAATTCATCATGTTGACTCTCAAAATAATCATGACTCGCCAACATCATGAATTGGGGGCAAATGTTGGGACCAAATTGTATCAGATGTTGGCTTGGGCCAGTCCGCCCAAGCATGAGGCGAAGCCCACCGGGACTGCTAAATAATATACCTACCGGTCAAGAGTCCGTTAGCCCATTATATCAGTTCGAAATGGAGATAAGGGCGTGGAATACTTCAAGGGATAAGATCTACAGCACGTGGAGAGGAAATAGGCTAGCGGCTCTTATTCTTGGGGAAGAAGTTGGTTTAATTTAATAAATAGATTAGTTCACCTCCCAAGAGAGGGCATTACTTCGAATTACAATTGCAATTACGTTGCCAAGATCTGCGTATTACTCCATAAACTGTACTCAAGCTCTCGGCTAAACAAAAAGCCTAATAATACATATTTCTTCTTCTTCACTTTGATTAGCCATTATTCGATTCTTAATTGCTTGATTCCCAAAACAATTTTATTCTAGATTATTTCTTGTTCAAACAATGATCATTACTTACGTGTTGGAATTTGTTTTTTCCCCTCTTTGATATCCCTGAAATTCAAATATGGAGTTTATTTTTCTGAGCTAAATATGAAATTCAGTTTTATTTCGCCCAATTTACTCTCTTGGCAAAAAACCCCCAAGCACTGCGTGTCTTTGTGGTCAATCAGTGAGAAGCCGGGATGGCGTCTTCCTCAAATGTTCTGCGGGAAATGCAACGCGACCTCGAGAGCAAAGCAAACGATCTTAGCCAAATTCAAAAAGGCAACATTTTCCTTCCATTGAAGTAAACCCTATTCTTAGTCCTGGTCTCTGTATATGCATAATCAATTATGCGCTCCTACTTTCAGATATAGCCAAGAACCATCAAGTGCGAAAGAAATACACCATTCAACTCGGTGAAAACGAGCTTGTCCTCAAGGTCAAATCTTTATGTACTCTATGTATTTTTACTTCTCTGGAGACTATTGCTTATAGATTTTATTCTATGTGTTAAATTTGCCAACTTAGGAGTTGGACCTCTTGAGTGAAGACGCCAATGTGTACAAACTGATTGGGCCAGTTCTGGTGAAGCAGGACCTGGCAGAGGCTAGCGCCAATGTCAAGAAGCGAATTGATTACATCTCAGCCGAATTGTATGTTTATTCATTTATGTCTGGTTCTTGTAGTGTATGGAGTATTAAAAATATTGATCATGAACTGCTGTTTAAGTGCCTTTCCCCTAAGCTACGCGTTTCTCCAAACATAGGCAGGCACCATTGTCTGTCTTACTGGGGCGTTCGATCAGTTCTGGTCGAATGTTCCCTGAGTATTCCCATCCCATGCTTGGTCCCCACACTTAAATTCCACCACCAAAAGAGGTCCGTCTGAACTTACGTTGAATGGCCATGACCAAATGCCTATCTTTGGGGAAAACACAAAAGCCACATCCTCCCATCCTTTTTGTGATCTCTTATGAGCATATTGTCTTTGAACCCAGCTTTGTGCAATTTGAGAGGTAGAAACTATTATTACAGATAAGTGAAGGGGTGACCATGTTTGAGGTTTAGGGGGGGGGGGGGATTTGTGCTAACTACTTACCTGTAAAGCTTGGTGAGTTTTAGATTGGTCAATTTTCAGGCTGACTATGTGATTTAAGGATGGGTTGTTGGAGTAGATTCTAAATTTTGGATTTGTTTTTGCCTTTTTGGGCATGTCATGATACTCAATAGAATTTTATAATTGCCTACCCGTTGCTTGCATGTTGTGGGGAAGGAACACACTCACACACATACCTATTAGGATGTTTTTAGTCAGACTGGTTTAGGTTTAAGACTAGACCAGACTTAAACAAAACAGATCAAACTTCAATAGTATGGAAATACACATAGACCAGACATCTACCGCACCAGTTCTGTTCAGACCGGACCAAACCATAAAATTTCACTCTAATTTAAAACATCCTTACGGTGCATAAAAACATATTGTTGGCTTATTCATTTCCTCCTACTTGATCTTTGATCCCTGCATGCTCAGGTGGAATAAAGGTGGAATTGAATATAAATTTTATGCCTCTGGGAGAAGAACATGTAGGGAGTAGGGACAAAAGAGTATTTCAAGTACCATATTTTGAGTTGTGGGAATAGAACCAAATAGAAATATTAACATTTTTTTATTGCTTTGGAACAATATGTGAAGATTTGACATTACAACTAAAATGGCTATAATAAAGAAACTGCACATTTGAGATTGGTGCACATATAATTGCAAACATTGGTGTAGCTTTGGGTTTTATGGGCGCCAAACTGCCAAACACATAAATTACTCTTTTTTTCTCCATACTCATACAGGATAACAATTCCTTTTGGGGGAGTGGCAATTCCTTTCCACAAACAACAACAACATCCAAGCCTTAGTCCCAAACGATATTGGGGTCGGCTAACATGAATCGATACATGATATCACCAAAAAGAAAAGAAAGAAAATAATGATAAAAAAGAATGTTTTTTTATTGCTATGGGAAAAAGAGTTCCAGACAAACCACTTACTCCTGCAAATAATGTATTCTGCGAATTTTTACTCTTGCAACCAAACAGCCCATTAATGTTTGACCTAACACAGCATTCTTGAAACATTATACTTGTAGACCGGAACATTGTGCTACTGCTACAACCTCAAACCTAAATGGGAGTAAAATAAATACATAAATAAATTATAGATACGTAGGTTTAGAATTCAAATTTGTTTGTGGTAAACTGTGTTTATGGTATCTTTTAGGTGGTCTAACTGGTTTTTGTATGCCTTGATAAAGTGATAAAGTGATAAGCAGTAAACTTACTCTATTCTGAGGTTGATTATTGTTCTGATAGTAATAAATAAAACATTGAGTAGTTCTATATTGTTTATTATTGTACATCCTATTGAGCCTTCTTTAGATATAAAATGAGTTATATTTATATTCGAATGCTCATTCTTTCGGGATGCTAAATGAGTAGTTCGCTCAAAAAATACAAGAATACTAGAACGGAAAATTGCATTCAGATGGATAATATAATTTTCCCCAGATTTTGGGTGGACCTGGCCCGGTGTCGGAACAGTTTTTAGCTTTTAAAATAATGATAAAACAGGGACATGAACTGGTCTGAGAATATTACGGAGTTAAGGGAGCTGTAAAAATCGGCTGCCGGGCTGGTTTTTATATGTCCTGTCCCATTCTGGTTTTGGAATTGGGACCGGATCAACCTCTATATACTAGCCATGTGAGGGTCCACATGTATTATATAATTTTCCCCTGATAGTAGAGCAGACCTGGTCCGGTTCCTGAATAGCCGATGCTTGTCCAATAGAGGCCTTACCTGTAACCATGACCAGTTTTTTGCTAAAATAAAAAGGCTACGACTCGAACATGTTCAAGACTATTTTGGAGGTACCGGAACTTTAAAAATTGGCTGCCGTCTGGATTTTATCACTCCGGTCCTGATCTAGAAGCTGTTCTCTTCGCCTGATCTGAATGTTTCTGATCTGAATTTTTTAAGTTCTGATCTGATCTGATCTGAATTTTTCTGATCTGATCTGATCTGATCTGAATCTTTCTGATCTGATCTGATCTGATCTGAATCTTTCTGATCTGATCTGATCTGATCTGAATCTTTCTGATCTGATCTGAATGTTTCTGATCTGGTCTGATCTGATCTGAATGTTTCTGATCTGATCTGAATCCTTCTGATCTGATCTGAATCTTTCTGATCTGATCTGATTCGAATATTTCTATGATTATAATTATAATTATAATTATAATTATTATTATAATTGCAATTACAAATATAATTTAAATAAAATTATAATTATAATTGTAATTATAATTACAATATTTATCTCTATAATTGTAACTATAGTTATCAATATTATTATAATTACTCCATAAAATAATTACAATGGTAATAATAATAATAATATTAATATTAATTATAATAAAAATAATAATTATAATCATAAATTATTATTATAATATAATTATAAGTATAATTATAATTATTATAATTATAATTAATAATAATTATAATTATATTAACATTAATTATAATATTATAATATAATAATAGTAATATAAATACAATTAATATTATTATAACGATATTATTATATTAATATTATTATTACAATAATATAATAATAATATGATTATTATTATAATTAGTATTATATTATTATAATATTATATTATATTTATAATTATAATCATAATTATAATTATGATTGTAATTATAATTATAATTAATTACAATTATAAATATATTTAATTATAGATATAATTATAATAATTACAATTGATTATACTTATAATTATAAGAATTATAATTGTAATTATAATTATAATTACATATAATTATAATAATATTAATCATATTATTATTATTATAATGTTGTCATAATAATAGTCTTCTTAACAATTGCATTTATATTACTATTATTATATTAAAAAATTATAACTATTATTAATATCTTTTTTTATCATATTATTATTAATATTATTAATAATAATTATATAATAATAATCATTATAGTAATAACAATAA